TGCCTGGCTAACTGCCTCAGCACGCAACTTATAGTGTGGGAGAAGCTGGGGGTCGGAGTGTTGCTGTCTCTTTATAAACTGGGTCATTCTCTTTTGCAGCTGCTCCTTCACGTGGGGAATCCGTAATCTCCGGAGTAACTCCTGGTTTGATTCCTTCGTTTCCTGGGAGTAACTCCGCAGGACGAATCTGAGTTGGTACATCATGTGTGAATGGAGCTTTTGCAATCCCTGCTGTGTCATCCCCACCACGTGGAGTGCATACAGAGCAGAGGCCCACGCAGTTATTGTCCAAATCGACAGACGACGTCTGTCTGATAAGACTCGGTGGTTCCGAACTGCATGGGCTACTTCTGACATTGCAAGCTTACTGGATGACAGCCGATGTTTGAGAGTCTTCATTTCATAGTCGTGATAAGAAAGAATGACCCCCAAGTATGGGACCTGATAGCGCAGCGATATCAGCCTGCCCGAAGGGAGTTCAACATACTTCTCTCCCTCGACCTGGCGAAAGAGTTTCTTCCTGATGGTCGAGGCTGAGCCCCCTTGCAGCTGTAGCAGAATTGCTGACTTGGACGGATTGACCTTGAACCCAAGCTCTACCAGCTGATCCAGAAGCAGGTCGCAGTACCCTAGTGCTGTCATGAGGGCGGCCTCAGAGTCGAAATGCGACTGGATCAAGCTATCATCTTCGTACATTGTGAGAAGCTTCACTAGTTCTGCTGGGCTGATTTTCCCAGAGAGCTTCCTATAGAGAAGCCCTGATGCAAAGGCAAATAAAGAGGGTGCTAGCTTACATCCCTGCTTGATTCCCCTGCGTGTGGCTATCTCAAAGCTCTGATCGCTGGCTGTCATCTTATACAAGGCTTTGATATGGAGATGGCCTATCACCTCTATCAGAAGAGGATCTGCTTGTTCGGCTTCCAGGTCCTCTCTTAATCGCAGCCTGTTTACAGTGTCAAAAGCTTTGCTCATGTCCACGCTCATGGTGAGACTGCCTCTGAGCTTGAGCCCCTGTTGTCCCTTACCTGCAGCCCTAGTGGTGAGGGCCTGTCTGAACCTGGCCTGGTCCACATGTGTGAGGGCCTTGCAGATAGCCTCCTCTGTGCCCCTGCCTGGGACAAAGCCGAACTGAGAGACGCCGGTCATTGCTTGCTGGAGGGTAGACTTGAGTCTCTTCCTCACGAGTCCGGCTAGGACCTTACCCTCAGGCGCTATCACCCCGATCGGACGGAGTGAGGTTGGTTTGTCTGGCTTCTTGGGAGGCTTTGGGAGCCAGGAGATCTGTGACGAGGTGACACTGTCCGAGAGCCTTCCTGCAGTGACTTCCCTATTAAGGGTGTCCGAGATTAGCCGGATTGCTTGGGGACCTAGGGAGCGCCAGGCTACTACGGGAGGACTCTCTTTAGGAACCGCCTTGCCAAGCTTTATTGTGCCAAGCTGTTCTTGCACTTCGTGCTCAGTGATGTGCAGGCTGCCTTGTATCCCTGAAAGCGGGAAGTCATCCCCTGCTCCAAACAGGTCTAGGGAATATTCCTCTAATTGTCTTCTTTCTTCCTTGGCAGTAAGGAAGCGACCCTCAGAATCACGAAGCTGAACTCTTTCCTGGGGCCTCCCCGACCTGAAGCGCTTGATTACCTTGTAAGGGAATGACTCCCGTCCTGCTTGGACTTAAGCTCTGCCTGCTGGAGTTGTTCATCTATTTCCTGCCGCCGCCGCTCCTGCTTGTGACGCTTTGCTACCCTCGCCTGTGCACTTTGCTGGGAGAACGAGCACCAGCATCGGAACACCATACGGACCTGCAGCTCGGGCAAGAACTCTGCTAAGACCTTGACTGCTAGTGGGAGTGAGCGCAACACAGAGCGCTCTTCCCAGATGCTGAGATCTGATCTTTGTGCTGCTTCCTTTCTCTTGGGAAAGTGAGTCGCGAGGGCTGAGTTCATTGCTTGATGGAGACTCTGCCAGGTTTGGGGATGATCCTGAAGGAGGGAGTCTACCTCCCTGGCAAATGCCTGTATTTTCGGGGAACGGTGTCTGTAGCAGTCCTCCATTGCCTGCTGGTCATAGGGTTTTGAGGCTTGGGCGGAGTATCTCCTGCTGTGCCTCAGTTTACCAAGAAGGGGGAAATGCCTACTACCATCCCTCCAGGATGCAACTGGGAAGGTCCTTAGTGGCCGGCAAAACCTGGCGGGGCCTTGGGACTGTGCAATCCTGACAAACGAGAAGTCAATCTGTGAAACAGAGTTGCCTTGTTCGTGGGTGGCTGGTCTATGCACTCCCCAAGTGTTGGTTGCGACTAGCTGGTGCTCCGACAGTAGGGTCTGGAGATCCTTAGATCCGCGATGCCCGAGTCTGCAAGCCTGGATCGTGCATGGCCCTACGTGTTTGTTGTCGGTTTTGAGCGAGGAGTTAAAATCTCCTAGCACAAGGAGAGTGTTGCGATTGGGAACAGCTCGGATGGACTTACTTAGGGAGTGAAGGGTCTGCTTCCGGGTTTCCTTATTCTGAGCGACTGTCTCCTTGGAGCGCCAAACGTATTGATAGCAGCTGAAGACGTCCAGTGAGATGCCGTTGCTCGGCACCCGAACCTGGAGAACTCTTCCTGGAACAACCTCGTTGTAGCGAAGATCCTGTGACTTGCACAACGTGGAGTGCACCATTATGAGGACCCCGGCTCCCTTCTCCCCTGTAGAACCAGAGCTAATCACATGCCAGCCTGACTTGCTGAATTGCCAAGAGCCCCTCCAGTGTGTTTCCTGAATTGCTACCAGCTTCACATCCTGAAATGCGACACTTTGCAGTACGGAGAGTAACTCTTCCCAAACTGCTGTTGTGAGAGATCCTGCATTCCAGGATAGATAGCTGAGATTCTTATCTTCTGTAAATTTCGAAGGCCGAGTCCTTCTGCCGGGATTGGTGGGCTTTACATGTGCCGGAGCAACTCCAAGCTCTGTTGACGACATCGTCCTTTCCCTTGTAGACCGCACTACCTTCAAGCAGAGCTTTACGTGCTGCCCTTTGATAAGAGCGTTTACCCTTCCCTTTAGGAACGGGCTGATGCTTGGTCGAACCACTAGGCTGTTTCGCAGCACTCATGTTGAGTACGGCTCCTGTCGGCTTCGCAATACCGACAACCCTCACCTCTGGGAGATGTTAGAGAGCTGTAGATCTAATACTCCCTCCCGGACTTGGGACCGGGACTGCTCAGGCGCTGACAAATGCCATGGCAAGAAAGGAAAAAGGCAACTGTACTAGCCTGACCTTTCCTGAGCCGAGAGGCTTACAACAACAACAACAACAACAACAACAACAACAACAACAACAACAACAACAACAACAACAACAACAACAACAACAACACCTACTTACTACTACTACTACTACTACTACTACTACTACTACTACTACTACTACTACTACTACTACTACTACTACTACTACTACTACTACTACTACTGCTACTACTACTACTACTACTACTACTACAAAAGGATGAACTCGAAGACCAAGTCCAAGTCGAAGCCGAAGTCGAAGAGGAAAGTAGAGGAAAAGGTAGAGGTCGAGGTGGAGGTCGAGGGGGTGGGGGCAAGGGTACGGGTAGGGGTAGCGGTAGGGGTAAAGGTAGAGGTATAGAGGTAGAGGTCGAGGTCAAGGTGGAGGTTTTGGTCAAGGTGGAGGTGGAGGTAGCGGTAGCGGTAGTGGTAGACGTAGACGTAAAAGTAGAAGTCGAAGTGGAAGCGGCAGCGGAAGTGGAAGGAAAACGAGAAGTGGAAGAAGAAGTAGGAGTAGGGAGAGGAGTAGGAGGAGCAAGAGTAGGAGGGCGAGGAGTAGGAGTAGGCGTAGGAGTATAGGACTATAGAGTAGGAGTTGGCGTGGGCGTGGGCGTGGGCGAAGGCGTAGGCGCAGGCGTGCGTAGGCATAGGCGTAGGTGCAGGAGCAGGAGTAGAAGTAGTCGGAGGAGGAGTAGTAGGAGGAGTAGGAGGGGCAGGAGCAGGAGCAGCAGAAGCAGTACGACTTGGAGTTGGAGTAGGAGTTGGAGGAGGAGTAGGAGTAGGAGTAGAAGTAGGAGTCGGAGGAGGGGTAGGAGTAGGAGTAGTAGGAATAGGAGTAGGATTAGGATTAGGAGTAGGAGGAGTGGGGAGTTAGGAGTTGGGAGTTGGGAAATAGGAGTACGAGGAGTGGGAGTAGGAGCAGGAGTAGGAGCAGGAGTAGAGTAGGAGCAGGAGGAGTTAGGAGGTAGGAGTAGTGAGTTAGGAGCTAGAAGTTAGGAGGTAGGAGTTAGGAGTTAGAAGTTTTGAGTTAGAAGTTAGGCCTTAGGAGTACGCGTTGTAGTTGGCGCAAGAGCTAGGAGTTAGGAGTAGGAGTAGGAGGAGTAGGAGGAGTAGGAGGAGGAGGAGGAGGAGGAGTAGGAGGAGTAGGAGGAGTAGGAGGAGGAGGAAGAGGAGTGGGAGGAGGAGTAGGAGGAGGAGGAGGAGTAGGAGGAGTGGGAGGAGTAGGAGGAGTAGGAGGAGTGGGAGGAGTAGGAGGAGTAGAAGGAGTAGGAGTAGGAGTAGGAGTAGGAGGAGTAGGAGTAGGAGGAGTAGGAGTAGGAGTAGGAGTAGGAGTAGGAGGAGTAGGAGTAGGACTAGAAGTAGGAGGAGTAGGAGGAGCAGGAGTAGGAGCACATGTAGGAGTATGTAGGAGTGGAAGCAGGAGTAGGTGTAGGAGTAGGAGGAGGAGTTAGAATGGCATAAGAGTAGGACTAGGAATAGGAGGCGAAGCCTACACGACCATCACCAACATCACCACCAAAGGAACTTACACACGTTAGATCACGTGAGGGTGATGTTTCTGGTGATGATCCGGACGGCCAGCTCTTCGTGGATGATCATGGCCATTTCAACAACGGATGATTTTGGAGAAATGGGTCGAACGAGTTCCAACTGACTGACGACAACGTTGTACTTGTTCAACAGTGGTTCGCGGAGCCGCGCACTCGAAGCACTCCAGTACCTTGGCTTGATTCATCTAGCCCTGCTCGGGAGGGTAACACCCTCCCCGTGACGCTCTTCAAGCCATTTCTTTCTGCCCGAAGCCATGTGCACAACAACTCTCATGTAACGAGTTCCAACTGACTGCAGAAGCTCCTGCCATGTGCCAAAAGCCTCCATGGCTCCATGGTTGGCGCCATCTTTCTCCATCCTAAGTTGAGCTGTGATAGCTTGCAAGTCAACTGGCTAGCTGACCGTCGGATGAGACACTGAGCAGGAGACTGTTTCTGGAGGTTGCTGATCTCTGATATTTTCTTTTCTGTCTGCTGCGTGTCCGGATGCTCCTTGCCAAGCCTGGGGTCCGCACACATAGGAGACCGCAAAGTGCCGAACATCTGTGAATCCGAATGCCAAGAAGCTTTTCAATCCGCAGCTTGTGCACCAGGCGAAGCCTGCCGGTGACGGTGAGACAAGGAAAACAACTGACTTGAAGGTGTCAACGCGAAACTTCCTAACCTGTAGGCTTTGCCAAGTCGCTGTTCCACAGCTGTGTCGACACGCTTTCCTGCCAACGATATGGGCTGCAAACTCATCTGAAGACCACCACTTCGCAATACTTCGCACTGTGTCCTGTGAGGCTGCCCTCCTCGTGGAAGCATCGGTCAATCCAAGAACAGGCTTGGTTGTGAAGAGATGCCAGCGTCAGCGGGTGTCCCTGCCAAGGCGGAGGAACATCGCCCTAACTACCACGTCATGATACGGTATGTCACCACATGCACCTGTTGCAGAGCAGCTGTGAGGTTTTCCACCGCACGCTCATGGAGCTGCTCGGACTCTGCGAAGAGCTCTGCCGAAGGTACCGGTGCCTGCTGGCATTTGCAACGAACTCTACGACCTGGAATTGAAAGAAGCTTCTGCCTCCGACAGAAAACGCGCGAAGTTGCTCTGCCTGAGCTTAGCACTTATGAGCCAGACGCATACGTTTAAGTGGCGGCAGAATGCTGTCCTGCTCGCTGTGGGCACAAAGAAAAAGTGTGGTTATGCGGTCAGGGTGATGGTCGAATGCCAAGAACGCACAGCTCCTTGATACTGACCCTGCATTCTGGACAAAACAGGTTCCGTCTTCGACAATGCCTCCTCCCGTTGCTCAGCACATCGCCTTCCCCACCACATGATGTTCACACGTCATAGTGAGGTCTGAGACCCAAACCACACGGACTCTCAAGCAGCCATTCTCCGACTACACAACTCCCTTCCTTCTCCAACCTGCAAACATGCCCCGGGTCTTCCTTTCACGCGGTGTTGTTCGAAATGCCGAAGCTAACAGCTTAGCCCCGTGCGTGTACAGCGTCCTAGGATCCTTTGCCCCGATGGTTGCCTCTCGACCTTTCACGGCCAAGCCTCAGCCAGCGAAGCAGAAAGCATTGTTTGTCTGCCGACTGAAAGCTGACAAGAAACTGTACAGAGATCGAGCTTCGTCAAAGATCTCGACAGTCAAAGGCCTCCGGTGTGGATGCATCACGAACGGCACTTGGATGCAACTGAACACACAATGGAGAACCGTTGCCTGCGTAAGCTCAGCAACACGGCCAAGTTGGAGATGCTCTGCAGAGTTTCCTTCACAGTACAGAACCCAACATGCGTACAACCTTGAATCCTAGGCCATGCAGATGTCCCTTCATGCTCTCGGGTCACTGTTGAGGCTGCCAACCGCAGACGCAATATAATATGTTAACTGCAAACTTCAAAACTGCCTCGTGGTTCTCTCCAAGAATTCGCCGACGACGCTGCAAGCAGTCTCTGTGCCGATCCATGGCCTGGACCAGTGACTGTTTGTGTCATAGCACGTGTGGTTGGCAGACTGACAGGCCGAGTCCTACCCAACCGCAGCAAGAACCCGCAAACACAAGCGGCATTGGCCAAGGAGGCAGCTTCTGGACTCCTGTAAATCAACACATATACAAACGTCGCCGGCAAACTGCCTCTGCACCTCGTTCATGTCGCTACCCTGATCTTGCCTAGTCGTCCCTCCAATCGAGTCCAACATCTCCATGCCCTAACTCTGTACATCAACTGCGGGACATCCTCCCAAATGGCAGAAGTGCTCTGTAGGGCTTGTCTAGAAGATTTCTAAATTTGTTTGGGGAAAACAGATCCTAGCTTTCGATGCGCTGCTTCCGACATGCTAGATCACGTTATCACATGTTCATGTGCGGATCCCACTTCCTGGGCGGTACATGTGGATCAAAGGATCTAAAGTTGGAAGTTGGTAAGACACAACGGCTGCCTCGAGCTACGGCCAGACAGGTTTGGTCGCCCAAGCCGTTCCGCGAAAGGCCCGATAGACCAATGCAAGTCGTCTTCGTTCTGTCAACAAGAGCTTCCAGGAACTCTCCTTGTGGCCGTTTTCGTGAAACCCGCCAGACGTTGACATCGATTCACATGCCTGCAAGGCTGTCACGGGCCCAGCCCGTCGAATGTTTGATGCAGTTGTCGTGCCCTTTTTCCATCTGTGTGGCTTGATGAGCCTGTGGGTTGGGCTGGGTTTGAGCAGAACGTATGCCACCAACCACTATTCTATTTGAAACCATGTTGCGGTCTGTCCACGGTGGTCAAGCTTGCAGTTACTCGCAATCACATCGTCACTTTGAAACGATAGGTCTCGTCACAACCGATGGCCTCCTCTATCTGGTGGCCCTTCTGCAAAGTGACCTTTGCAATCGGCGAATTGCAAGACAAGGACGCCCTACCCATCATGCTGAGCACGCAGCTGCGAGCTGGTTCAAGGCACTCATGGCCATCACCTTGCTTTCGGACCGAACCCTCACCTAAGCAAACTGACCTTCCTCCAACCCGTTGACCTAACTGGATTCTAGGCAATCCAAGAACGTTGAAAAAGCGATCTGTGGGCCTGGGATGAAACTAACAATCCAACATTGAGTGCGATGCGCCGATTTCCAACAATATTCTTCTGAGGTCTGGCGCAGGCCCGTCGGGACACTAGTCGGGGCTGCAGTGGGGAGGTTCCGCCTGAGTCCGAACTTGGATCTGTGAATTTGTTGATGACGGCCGTGTGGTACGGCTTGTGGCGGTGGGCTGACTGCGCGAAGTTGTGGACCGTTTCTGCTGTGGTCGGCCCTCCGATGGCAAGGGTGGTGGAGCTGCATCCAGCACTGCGAGCTGGTGTGAGTGATGAACTGGATGCTTGCGATGTCGGTTGTGTTGATCTGTTCACATACTAGTCACATACGAACACGCTGGTGGTGCACCTGATTTCTCAAAGATGTGCCACAGCGGCGTACATGTGGCTTTTGGCGCTTTGGGTGAGAATGCTGGACATGGAGTGCGGCAATACGACTGCCTGTCCACGCCCTTAAAACCAAAACAAAATAGGAAATAGAATGCTTCATAATTATTGGAAGCTTTGTTATAATAAGAAGCAAAAACCTTTAGCCAAACACTGCAGGGTGTGGTTGTGTTGGGTGAGAATGACTGCTGAAGCTGCTTGGCGGCGTATACCGTGGCCCAAGGTTTAACATCATCCAATGCATGGCTGTGTTGTGCCACTTCTGGGTTGCTGGCAGGTCAGCTGGAGCTAAGTTAATTTTCGCTCCTGTTGCCCGAATGCAAAGCGTTCATGAAAATCGACAGGTGCACTGACAAACTTGTCCTTTTCGTTACTGCCTGAACCCATGTTCTCACGTCATCGAAAGGAGCTCCCCGACGGAAACTGCTTCAGTGGGGGGGTGCCTCGCTGACGGTGCTATAAAGTACTCCGGCGTTGCACGTGTTGATCCTGTGCGGTGATGTAGTCGGGACGTTTCAACCGAAGGTTTGGCGATTGCGTGGTCTCATAAGCCTTTGTTGCCCGATGCATAGTGTAGTCGGGTATACGTATGGCAGCAAGAGCCTCTTGACGGTGTTTTCATTGCAGGTTCTTTTGTAAGTCTGGTGGCTACGATGATTATGGTTTTTTGCTGCTGGCCTTGATGTTTGAAGTGGTGTAGATGCTGGTGACCATGTAATAGGCAGCGCACACGAGCATCTTGAAAGATCACACGAAAACCGATGTCGGCCACACTGCAGGATCGACGGCCACAGCAACCAGGTGATACTGTAATGCGAACCGGCGGAAAAGGTTCTTTGAAGGACTGGATTGTGGACTGAGTAGAAGCATTCATGAACAACCACAAACTCAATTCCGATAAAGAAAATGGCTCAGGGTGAAGTTGTTGCATTTGCCAAAAATCAACGTCATGCACTGCTCCGCCGCAAAACAAATGACATACACCGTTGCACAGCTCGCTCAGCCAAACTATCTACCAACCCCTGAATAACAAATCGGTGCGTGCGCACACACACACACACGCACAAACGCACACACACACACACATACACACACTTGACACAATGTGTCCCACGTCTCAAGTCAAGTGGAAAGTCGAATACAGAACATCGTACGACATGCCTTTCCTGTCGACAAACTCAACAGTCAGATCGAACCCAGCTGGTATCAGCTGGTTGCATTGCTGCTGAATTACTAGAAATAAAAAGCCAAACACCCCAATGCAGAGCTTTCGCGATGTATGGTGGTACACAGCGGAGCGTCTTCCTGTGCTTCACAGCATGTGACAGCATCTGATGAGCGTCTTTGTTAGTGCCGGTCTTATCAGTGCCCCCGGCACCTGCTGCTGTCACAGACTCAAACTGCATGCAGACCTCTGGAACAGAGATTGACTGACTGACTGATTGACACACACACACACACACACGCCGTTTCGAGCTCACTAAGACGCAAACAGGGACGAGTTTATCAGCGTGCTCGAATCAGAGATTCCTCTGCCTGCTGTTCTTTAAACTCTCAAATTGCACTAAATCACTAAGTCTTTCGAAACACACACACACACACACACCCTAAACGGGCTCGTTCAGCAAAGCGTAACACTGCTGTAATCCGCTTTCAAATGAAACTTGTCTGATGAGAGTACGGTCCATCATCTATGATGACTGAGACAAAGCTTCCACTTCAAGGATCACATGAACAACAAGACAAAATGAGGAGACCAAAGGAAGTAAATGAAGGCGATTCTCAACAGAGCGGGACGTGGCACTGGTCGGCGCATGCACCCAGTCTCTGACTGTCCGAATAAAGATGAAGATGGAGACAAGGTGAAGCGACAGGCCTGCCTCCGGAAGGTATTATGTCAACGAAAACAGAACGGAAATGAAGGGAGAGAATGATCTTCCTGGTCAAGAACTGATGGAACAAGTCGGATGCTTTCTGACATCTGGTTGCCCTCCAAGCTCAAACACGAACAATCAATCAAACGTCAAATTCTGCAGTCTGATGCCTTCCAAACAGGCATGCTGGGTAGCTGCCTCCAAGCTCAGTCACATTCAACAACAAACACAAGCTGCTCCTGCTGTTCGCCAAACTTTGGTCGAACAAACTGTATTGACCGAGACCTGGTGCCGAATCAATCACGTAACGCCAGCTAGATTCTCATCATCTCATGGAAGAGTCATGTGGAAATCAATGCTCAGGCTCACGTGTACTTCAAGTTGCTACCTTTCCGCTGGCAGCACACATGTCCCGAGGGACCAGTCACTGCAAGCATGGATCGTGAATCAGCGGGAAAGTCAACACGAGCAACCTCTTGGAGACACGGTGCCCTGAGGGAATGCCGTTGTGCAACACAAAAAAATGTGTCCCAAATCTCAAGTCAGGTGAATCACTCAGCTTCAGGGAAAGTCAGATACAGAACATCGTGCAACATGCCTTTCCTGTCCACAGACTCAACGGTCAGATCGAAGCCAGCTGGTTGCATTGCTGCCGAATTACTAGCAATAAAAAGCCAAACACGCCAAT